TGCCAAAAAATCAATCGAAGATCACACTTAATTTTCTCATTTTTATTTTAATTTTACTTGGAAAAATTTCTTTGAAGAGAAAATTTTTTAACATTGCCATTTTCTGACGAGGAACAAACTTCCGCTATAGAGAATTTTGGATAATGATCAGACAGATCCTGAAGAGTGGAGTGAAGTGATATGAAAAAAATTGTTCAAAATCATTTGTTTTTATTGTCATAATCCAAATTTTTATTAAAATCGCTAATTATGTATAATTATGTACGTTTGCGTATTGGAATTAAATAAAATCAGTTTAAAATCATTTAAAAATTTTGAAAAATCTCAATTTGGTGGTCAATGTAAGACCACAATTCTGACAGGTTTAGATTTAAGGTAAGGTAAGTGAGGATTAATATTTAAGTTAATTAATCGATATTGATTCAAAACATAGATTATTTATACCACCATTATTTAATTTGTAGTTAACAGAATTGTTATTAAATAGGCCTACACCTCCGCCCTTTTTAGAATCCCTTACAAAAATCTTTCATGATCTATATATGTATATATACTCAAAAATGTCTGATTGAACCTGTAGAGCAAGCTCACACCCACACATTGTAACTAAAACTGCGTGGAGTTTCAACTATAAATATTTGCACACCAACATTCATTGATAACATTTTAATTATGTGTGATTTTATCATATCCCTCTCCACACAAAATCAAATGGATGTGCAAGTTCCTCAACACGTGTTTAATTTGCGTGCAATGGGACTGAATGGATGAGAATATATCTGTTCATGTGCAGCGCGACGTGTGTGCGACTGCTTAGTCCTAGCTGCTTTCTTATTCATATACAATGATTATACGCGTTAAAAAATGTATCGCGATTAATGTCTTAGCTGTTTTAATGTTAACATAATTTTGAAATGATGGATTTTGTACGTGAATTATGATAGAAATTGTAATTTAATGAAAAATCCAAGTTTCAGTAATTTATTCACCGTAGTATAGCATCGTATATTAGCCGCCAGAGAAAATTTTTTATTTCGAACGTACTATACCAGGAAGAAGAATGACGTCACTGACATCTGCCGCGATCGATTGAAAATAATTCTCATCATAAATTTAAATAATCGATAAACTTTTGTATACCGCGCATCATCTCGATTGTCTAATGTTATTCAAATTATTTCTAATGTAGAATATTAATTAATCAGACTGCTCGACCCGGAGTGAACGAACAAACGAACCAACACCTAACACATCTCCACACAACACATTCCCACACAACACAACATATTCCCACACAACACAACAAATTCTCACACAACACATTTTCACACAATACAACACATCCCCAAACAACACATTTCTACACGACACATCCCCAAGCAACACATCCCCACACAACACATCCCCACACAACACATCTTAGCTAAACACATCAACAACAACACCCCACTGACCGTCTGATAAGACGAAATGCATGTTTAACTCGTCAACCACCTCATCAAAGAATAATATTCATACATATTCATTCATATATATGTATGTGTGTGTTGTGTAGGAATGTGTTGTGTTGTGTGGAGATGGGTTAGATGTTGGTATATGATTTTAAAAATTCAAAATGATCAACAAAAAAAAAAATAACGAAACACAATATAAAAACACGAGAACAACATTAATTACATTCGATAAGGATATAAAACACTTGAAAATTGATGAAACACGTAACCACCGATATGAAGAAAACACAGGCAACCATGCTTGACCAAAGAATTATCGACCGATACTTTAAAATGATGTTATGAACGAAGAGCAGTTGATGGGCGCATGGTGTGCATGCGCAAATGCATCGATGAATTTGAGAAATGTAAACAAAGAGTGTCACGTGATAATCAACCGATAATTAAAAAATTACCATAGAGATTGAAAAATTTTGAAACAACGTTAGAAAAAAAAACTGCGAATGATTCTCGGTCATGGCAATTAGAGTTGTCAACAGTGCAAGAGAGAGAGAGAGAAAGAGAGAGAGAGAGAAAGAGAGAGAGAAAGAGATGGAGAGATGATTTTAATTGTAGTTTTAATAACATCCTATTATTATGATACTATTTAGGTTGAAGGCGCATAAATAAGTAAATTATAATATAAATACATATATATATATACATATTTATATATATATTTAGGAACGAGGTTTTCAGAAATGCAAATTTCATTGAAATTGTTTGCCCATTTTGCATTAATAATTCTTTATAAGACATTCAACGAGGCGGTATTGTTTGAGTTCATATTTATCTAAAACTGGAATAAAGCTAACAGCGCTGTTTCGGCGTAATGCCATCTTCAGAGCCTAAATATTGTTTAAACATATAATTTAATTAAAGTAAATGCCTAATGTAAAATGTGAAAATATAGAAAATAAAATATGTATTAAATTGTGAAATAAATTAACCTTGTTGTAAATATCATAATAACTAAAGTTTATGTAGATTATATAAATAAAATAATGTAATTTAAATAAAATGTTTAGTAAAATAATTAAAATATAGAAATTTTATAAAAGTTTTAACATGGTTGAGAAACGTTAGTGAAAACTAATTACGAATGACATGTGCGCCAGATATATAATATTGCTGTGTATGCGTTGTGAATACAACTATTGCGGTTGAATATGTGTGATACGAGTTTCCACATCAGACCTACGGATACATAGTTAAATATAAATACATATATGTACATGCAAGATACATATCTATGTATAGATCAAGTATTAGGTATCACATAATACATCCAACGACGCGATGACGGTTGTCGGATGACGCTGGGTCACAAACTGCGTGTTGATGGGTTGAAATGTATTCAACGTAGGATGATATTTATATCGTTGTGGTACACGCAGATCCTGTGGATCAACCCCAACGGCAACAGTAAGTGTGAGATCGTGATACTGAGAAAACAATTGCAAAGTGTGATCAAAGCTGTTATATTGTTTATTGAGTGAGGGTTTATGCTTGTTGATATGAAGGGCTTCTTTAATTTTAAGGCGAACTGGATCGGGTTCATAATCAAGGATCGTTGTGTTGGGATCCAATATGTTCCTCGTAAGCGGTTGATGATGTACCCGTTCCATATGGTCCTTAATGGCACCATTCTGTGTATGCATGGTGAGTCTTCTAGAGAGAGTAGTTCTCGTATGGCCGATATAACTCTCCACAACACAGTGTGGCACGGGACAAGAAAATCGGTA